AGACCAATAAGAAAACTAGTCAAGGGTATACCCCAGACTAGAAGAAACAAACTAAATTAGAAGAAGCAGAGCTAAAACAGCAAATTCAAATCAGCTAATGGCCAGTGTATTTTATATCAACTACTCTAGGTGACTATTTGTAGTTCATTCATTTCATAATTCCTGCCCACCTCTCATTTACTTTGATCTCAACAATGAGTCTCTGTCAACAACCAGTGGATAAGAACATGATTCAATATGGAAATATATATATATATACACACACACACACATATACATACTTTGGCAAGTTGAACTAGTGTGCTTGTCTATTTTTTCTTATAAGTGGTGAATCCAACTTTTGCTGATGTACTCTAAAACCTTCTGTGAAGGATTAAACATCTCCTAATTTATTTATTTCTCTAGCTGTAGACAAGGCAAGCCTTCACACCAGAGCAATCAAAGGATCCTGCCCTTCCTAGCTTCTTCTGAGAAGTTAGAGAAAGAGATGGCTTATGATGTTGTTGATTTTCTTTTGGATAAATATGTGGGCATGAGACCAACACTTGAAGGTGATGTGTGTTGTTATGAAGATGATGTGTCCTATTATTGAAGCTTGTTTCATGAAAGTGAAATTTGTGTTTTTTGAAGTATGTCTCCTATAAGATAGTTTTTCTGATACCTTCCTAACAGTTAAGGAAAATATAAGAAAACATCTTTTTTTTTTGTTAAGCATCTTTTTTTTCGTTTTTGAATCCTATTGTTGAAATTTGTAAACAATGAAGTGAATTGTGGTTGAACTTTGAATTATATATCCTGTGTGATAAACTTTGACCTTTTGATGCTTTAAAAGGTGAGGGAGACACAAGGAAGCCTCTTTTGCCTTGGTCCATGTCACCTACTCCTATCTAATTTAATCCACCACTTAATTTGTTCTTAATTTCTTTGTCATTTTTCCTAATACAGAAGAATGATTATGATTTGAGAAGCTTCATTGCAAGCTTCCATTCTAGCAGGAACAAACCTATGGACAATCATCACTAAAGGAATAAACTATACCAGGAAATTTCAAATAACTTGAAGTGTAGTTTCAGATCAAGATAATATGCAAAATGGTTGAAATTATTAATTCAATTACTAGAACTAACATTCTACATTTACGCTGAAGCACTTGCTTCTGTAATTACACTTTGGTTATATATATATATATATATATATATATATATATATATGTTTGTGTGTTCAAATTTCAATATATCTATTAAAAATATGATGACTATTTATATAGAAATAAATTTAAAATTTATAAAAATAAATTAAAAACAATGATAACCAAACATATTTTTTGTTTCTGTGTTTTTTTTTTTTTTTTTTTTTTTTTTTTTTTTTTTTTTTTTGATGACAACAGTTGGAGTTACCAAACATGTTTGGTTTTCAAAATTCTTGAACGCATGGCTTACCAAACATGTTTTGCATGTTTCTGTTTTTAACATTTCTACAGCAAAATATCGTTCCCAAACGTGCTTCTGGTTTTTGCCAAAACACTCCTATAGCAAAAACACTGTTTTTGTTTTAGCAAAAAACAAAACGCCTAAAGCAAATTGCATGCCAAACGGGCCCTTAGAAGACAACTCTCTCTACATTTTTAGGGTTAGCTTTCTCATCTAAAGGAAACTCCCACAAGCCTTGCCTCCAAGGTCATTCATCAAGGTTTAGGGTGATTCCTAAATGGAAGATCACTATCAACAAGAAGGAGATCATAGGTAGGGCGACAAATGAACCGAGCTGTTCATGAATAGCTCGGGCTCGGCTCGTTAAAAGCTCAGCTCAGGCTCCCTCATTTAGTAAACGAGCCGAGCTTGAACACATTTTTTGAGCTCATTAGGCTCGTGAACACGCTCATTTAGTAAAATGTTTAGTTATTTATTTTTTAAAAATCTTCTATATAATTAATTTCTTTAGCCCATATAATATAAATTTAGTCCAAAACTGTATGTTCATAAGCCCAGCTTGAATCTTCATTAAGTCCAATTTTTTTCAACTTAAGCCCTACTAGTTGAAAGCCCAACTCCACTTAACCCAATCATCACATATATATATTATGTATGTATCAGATCGATTACATTTAAGAAAACATATGCTGCAACAGATCTCGCAACTTTTGGTTTCAACAAAGCATCTTCTTCCTCTCTTACTGGTCGGCTCGACAGCTCTCTAATCCCTTTCAATTCAACACATCTTTCTCTCGCTTATCAGTGACGGTATCCATAGATCTCTGTCTCTTAAATCTATTTCTTGGGTTTCTTTTTTCTTATGAGGTCTCAATCTGATCATTTTAGTGTTGATGGGATCAGAAGAAGATGTGTAAAATGGCAATCAGTGACAGAAATGCAGTGTGCAGTGATGGATTCATGGATTTCATATTAGATTCGTTGAAAACAGCCTACAGATCTAAAGATTTTCTTCATTTTTAAATTTTCATTTTTATTTTTTTTAAGGCGAGATCGACCCAAGCCGAGCCCAAGCTTGCCGAAATTCTGGCGAGCCGAGCTCGAGCAAGGGTTCACCAGGCTCGGCCTATCCCGAGCCGAGCCCGAGCACACCCCTAGCACTGGCGAGCCAAGCCCGAACATGGTAAAGCTCGGCTCGGCTAGGCTCATTTGTAGCCCTAATCATAGAAGGGATGAACGAGCTAAGGGATCTACAATAAGTGAGAATATGTACTTTAGAGGAAAAATTTAAGGTTTACTCAAACTTTTGATGTAAATTTTCAATCTAATAATTGAATGATTTATCATCTTATTTTTTAATAAAACTTGTCTCTATATAATGAATCAAGATCCATGTATGAAAATCCCTCAAAAAGTTTTAAAACTTCAATTTTCCCAACAATCCACTTATCATCGTCTTTGATTCTTGCACTGGATTGACCATTTTCTTTAATGTTTGCTCTCCAACTGTTGCTCAACTCACTTGCTGCCATTTTTGTGTCACAAAACTTAATTAAGAGAGCTAGAGAGAATGTAATTTTCTCGTTTACCCAGATGAGTGGGACTTGCTTGGAAAAAAAGAACTAGAATAATTCCCTTTTTTCTGAAGGACCTAGTAGTTATTTTAATTTGGGCTGTTAAGCCCAAAGTTGAATGAAAAAAGAGCCCATTACCGAAATGAATACACCATATATTGTTATATAGACCAGACGCACGCAATGGGAAATGACTGTAAATATTTTTTAAAAATTGGTTTTGAGGACCAAAAGTAATTGATTTTGTACAATGTAATAGTAATAAACTCGGTTTAATTATCATATATGTATGCAATATGTTTAGAGTTTATAAAGTGAATGAAAATCTATGAATAGATATAACTAAAAGACAGTATATATACAATTTTGTATTGCCATGTATTAGCAGATGTATATATGAGTTGTTAGTACAATGATAGAAAAATGAAAGGTATTTTGCAATCATGTTCAAATTTTAGCTATTATATGTTTGGAGTGTTGTTTATCGGTAATGATAATTGTGATTCTTTCTTCTAACTTCTCTTTGAATTTCTACTTATTCCTACTCATGCAATTTAGTTGGCTTATAGATCTCTTGCTTGACGTAGTTAGATGCCCTAATGAATAGTTTTAATTAAATCATCTCAACGTGTATTGCTTGGTAAGAACAGAATTTTCACCCTGTCAAGCTTGCAAAAAAGAGGATATGTTTGGTGCGTATTGTCTGTCTACCATAATTGCTTCATAAATGTAAATTCGACGGATCATTTATTCTTTAGTTATGAATTTGCTAAGAAGATATGGACTTGTGTCAGAGTATGATTTATATTGGATTCGGATGGAAAAGTGAATGAGTATATATAAATTGGGTGCTATTCCCACCTAATTAGCTTAAACTTTTGGGTTCGATTCGTTACAGTTGGTATCAGAGTCATAATCATTCTTTGATCCGGTGTCACACCAAACATTTGACCTCGTAGGGTGATCCGATCACAACGAAAACATTGAAAATTCAGGTGAAACTCATCCCAAATGGACGGGGTATTTTGTGCTCTGGCCTCTTATCTAATACGGAGTATTTTGTTTATTTTTTTTTAGTTGTAATAAAAATGTTCAGTCAGGCAAATAATAATAATAATAATAATAATAATATAAAAATAAAGATAAAAGGTTGACTTGCAGGTCCAAATCTTCTTCACAAGTGTCCCCATAATTAATGGGATGTCTCTTCTTGCCGCCAAGAGAAACCCGAAACGTGCGGCTAATACTTCCCTCATTGGTGATGGCTTGCGACATTAAAAAGGAGGTAGGTTGCATATCTTTTTCTTTGCAAAGCCCACGGAAAAATCAAACATAAAATGGGTAGCAACCAGGAAAGAAATTGAAGGAAAAAAAAAAAAGAGAGAAAAATCCCTTAGACTCTGTGATATAAAAACTCTTTTAAAACAGCACATTTTGAACAAACAAAAGAGTACACAAATTATATCATTACATGGTTAGCATGTTTCTTTCAAAATCTGCTAATTTACACAGATGAGTACACAAAAAGGAGAGTTCCTCGTTGTCTTGATTGCTGCTGGAACATGGTTTGCTGCTTGGCATGATATTTTTGCAGTTACATCTTTTTTGGTTATTGCGGAATTGATAATGCATTGAAGTCCAACCTAATTCGAAGTGAGGGTATTCATTGTGTCCGGTGCACCGTACACATTACAACCGTCCGTGCTTGGTATGGAATTTTGTGATGGTGCACCAGGCACATGTAATATATTTCCCAATTCGGCATGTTCTTGTCGTACGTACGTGAACTTCTACCATTAGAGTGGACTCAACTACATTAATTGCCATTTTCGATTTGCATCGAAACTTGAAGACAATGGATTAATTCAACTACTTTGATAATCGGAAAAGTAGAAGGTTTGAGGAAGGTGAGGATTTACTGACGAAGCAAATTAATTGAAGAGAGAAAAGATAAAAGAAATACAAATAAGTTTGTTTTTAAACATACACACGAGTAATTTATTCAATGTATCCTTGAAACTTAAGGATCCTACACACACATATTATATATTTTGAGAAACAACAGTTATACATCAGAGTTGGATCGATGCGTCCAAATTGCTCACACGTCGTCCTTGTACCTGTCATGATGAATACATATATATTTAGTGTTAATTAAGCTTATGCGAAGGCAATGAGAAATTAAACTCTGAATATTTTACCTTCTAACGAGGAAAAAATGTTTGAATGAAAGTCAGAGCCAGTACAAAGGTTGCAGCAAAGACAGCCAAAGCAGTCCAGGGACTGCTAAAATAGTTGTGCAACAGTTGACTCGTCCAAGTCTTCCTCTTGCTGTTGTAGTGCTCTTCAATCCCAGTAATGACAGCTCTAATTTTGTTTGAATGAGTAGCAGCTCCACAGAAGGCAGCCAAGGTGTTGAATAGTTTTGCAACTTCTTCATCGGTGCCAAGTAAGTTATGAATGATGTGGTGTGATCGCAGCTCAATCACATCATCAGCTCCATTTATGAGTGAATTCATGAAATATATATAATTGCATTCCTCCGGGACATCGAATCTAAGGGGAGCCAATTCATCGGCCTATCATGTTCGAAAAGACCCTCTTTGTTGTTTGGTGGGTAACCACGACATGAGGAAGCGTCACCAGTCCATGAAGAAATCGAGAAGTGAAGGTGATGTCGTTCAAAATGCATGTGTTGCTAGCCCTGAATTGTATCCCTCGTGCTTTAAGTTCTGTGGCCGAACGAAATGATTCACTACCAAACATGTCCTTCAGTAGGTCTTCCTGCTTGGTTGCTCTATGTCGTTTTAATCTGGACAAGCTGGGACGTTTGAAGGAACAACAACCGGGTTCGTCTTGTTTACGAGGACCATCTTCCCCTCTCGTGCTGCTGATTTGTCCATGGCCTGTCATGGGAGAGTGGCTGCCGAGAAATCTTCTGCGCGTGAGTTCTAGTAAATGAAGGGGTTGCTGATCTCCATCATACTTGGCACCATTTGAACGTTGTCCTAATATCCAGGCATTTACGAAATAAGTGTCGATGAAGGTCTCAATCAATCCCTCCCCTTCGTCTTTTGGGAATCTTGCACTCATCAAGGTTTGGAGAACTAGGAAAGGAAGTTGGTTCTCTAACAAAATTAAGTCCCCTATTAACATAGCCCATCTACCATAGCCTAGATGCCCAGAAAGTTCTTTCAAATTGAAGTTAAATTGCACAAACTTGTCAATGATATACAGAAGAAAACAACCATCAACGAACATCATACGGGTGAATTCTCCATCGTCAATTGCATCTGTTGATCCATCGAGGCAGCAATTCCTTGCATCACTGACCACTTCTAATATCTTGTCAAGGAATTCATGGATGTCTCGTTTACTGTCAGCTACAAACTCTCCTGCCATTCCGGTCTTCACGTTTTCCATTTCTTGGAGCTCTGTGTCACGGGCCTAGAGATTTGGCGCAGCGGCACGGCCCGTGCGGCACCAAGGCGTTGCTTCAGCTCCCGCAAGCGCCCTGGTCAGCCACCAAGACCTGCCCTCCCAAGGATACATGCTGACTGGTTTCGGCCTGCCATGGCCTCGTCAGGGAACGGCTCCAGCTCCCGACCAGTTTGTGTAGGGATGGCCAACTCCCTTCTTCATAGTCAAGTCCACGACCAGCGACAAGCACCTCGAACTGAACCGAGTCGACCTGCCTGAACTCTGAAGAGGTACCATCTTGTGGTCCTGCACGCCCCTTCCCTGGAACCATTCCCAGTCACTGAATGTTCTTAGCCAACCAGCATGCGTATCTTCTATGCTCATGGCGTCGTTAGGAATCGGATCGTGACATCTGGCTTGCCATGATGAAGGGGACCCATTGAAACGACTACAGGATCAAATAATTCATTTTTGTCCTTCCGTAGTTGTGGTGCAACCTTCTGTATTTTAATTTTTTGAGGTGGCAAGGGCTCCTCTTTCAAGACTTCCATCATGGATATTATCCAATTATCACCGCTGGATTGACTATTTTCATTGCTCGACTTACTTGCTGCCATTTTTGTACGCGTCACAAAACTTAATCAAGAGAGCTAGAGAGAGTTTAATTTTCACCTTCACACACACATGAATAAAGCTCTGAGTAATTTCATAATTCTAAGCAGAGAGATATCTAAAAGGAGAAAATTGAAGTTGAAGAAGAGTGATGGATCTGTAAATGATTCTTTTATTGGAACAACAATTAATGGTGGATATGTAACAAATCAGATGCAATAAAATATTGTGCAAAAATCCAAATGAAAGCAAACACAAAAAGTCAAAGCCAGACGTGTGTTCTAAATCCACGATACATAAAAACATCAGGAGATAAGTTTCATTTCAACATATCCTCCAATGCTTTTAAATATGTGTAAATTATTTATTCTTGACCAGTTCAGCTATTTATTATAATATAAATATGCAAAACAAAATTTTTTTTTTTTTTTCCCGGAAAGTAAAACAAAAATTCTTAGACAAAACAAATGAAGTGTGTGTTTTTTTTGTTGAGCACTTAATATTTTATATATTTTATATTGGCAAAAATTTATCGAAACTCAAACCTCTTACATTGAAAGGAAAGAAATTATTACTAAATTAGGATCGTTTAGATAACATACCCAAGTTCAGAGACGGATCTAACTATAGTTCAATGGGGGCAACTGTCTCCCTAATTTTTTTTATTTTTATTTTTTGGTAATTTACCCTTTGTTAATTTAATTTTTTCAATTATACATCCAAAAAATTACTATTGCCCCCTCCCCCTCCCAATTTTCTGACTCGTACCTGTGATGATGATGAATACATATATATATAATTAAGTTTACGGGAAGGCAATGAGAAAAGAAATTCTGAATATTTTACCTTGAATTTGTTGGCTAATTACGAGGAAACAATAGTTGAATGAAAGTGGGAACGAGTGCAAAAGTTGCGGCAAAGAATGCAAAAACAGCCCAGGGAGTACTAAAATAGTAGTGCAATAGCTGAGCCGTCCGGGTCTTCCTCTTGCTATTGTAGTGCTCCTGAATCCGTTCAGTGACATCTCTAATTTTACTGGGAATTACAGAGAAGCTAGACAAGGCGTTGAATAGTTTCGCCACTTCTTCATCAGTGCCAAGAAAGTTATGAATGATGTCGTGTGATCGCAGCTCGATTACATCATCAGCTCCATTTATGAGTGAATTCATGAAATAGAAGTAACTGCATACCTCCAATTTATCGACTCTAGAGGGAGCCAATTCATCGGCCATCATGTTCAGAAAGACCCTCTTCGTTTGGTCGGCAACCAAAACTTGAGGAATCGTCGTCACCCCTCCATAAAGACATCGAGAAGTGAAGTGAAGTCGTTCAAAAAACATGTGTTGCTAGGCCTGAAATGTATCCCCTTGCTTTAAGTTCTGAGGTTGAACGAAATGAGCTACTAAACATATCATTCACTGAGTCCTTCTGCTTGGTTGCTCTATGTCCTCTTAATCTTGACCAGATGGGAGGTTTGTGTGTGTGTGTGTGTGTGAAAAAGAAAATTGAAAACAGAATAAATGCGCTTGTGTGTGTGTGTGTCATATATATATATATATATATATATAATATCAACATGATAAAAGATGGTGAAAAAAAGAAAAAAGGACGACAGCTCTGTTGCTATACTGGATTGATCTACCTACTGCATTACCTGATTTGTCATGGGATGATAAGCATAATACTATTCAAATTAATTGTCCATTTTACAAGGTACATAATGATTTAGTAGCTCAAAGATGAATTTGCTAAAAAAATTCCTACAACACATAGCAGCACTGAACAAAGCTGACAAACTCATAAATTCTTCGGCCACCAGAGTAAAAATTCTTGAACCTTGACACTATAACGATGAGAAGCAGATCATAAACCAAAAGCACAAATTAAACTCTCTAGAACAGCTTCTTTAAACAAAAATAGGGACTTCAATCTCTGAAAGCAGCTTACATCAACCATCCTATGTACCTGTCATAGGCTCATAGCACATAAAACATATAATCTATATATAACGGGGAAAAAAAAAAAAAATTTGTTTTGTACATTGCATTTCCTTCGGTGCGTTGCATTTGCTGTACTAAAAATCATGGGGAAAAAAATCCTGCTACTAATATTTGGTCTTGAAGGACGACTGGACTTGCCCTTGTCGTGTTGTATTTGAATTAGTCTTTCTTGTCTTCATACAGCTTTAGGTTGGATCTGTTCAAAGTCGAAAAGCTCAAACATTAGACGTCTTACATCTGGCTTCCCATATATAGTGTATGAGAGTCCATGAATGGCTTGTTGAACAGAAGTTGTGGCCGGGTTCCTCAATCTTCGATTGTGCTCAAATGCATCTTGAACCTCCTCGCTGTAGATGATATAGCGGTGGAGATTCTTTTCCCTCAGATACTTCCCACAGAACTTGTTCATCAGAAGTCGGCGGTGCTTCTCCTGTAACCATCTCCCAGGAGCATCTAGATGCTTCATTAGCAACCTCTCAGCCATCACAAGATCCTGCAGAAGATGACAATAGACAAACAGTTTTACCAATACTGTGCTTTCACCTTTCTTTTCTTTGTTTTTTTCCCCAAATCATGTAAGTTACATGTCACAAGAATCTAGATTTATCGAATTTGGCAAATTCCAAGAATTGCCAAATATGTCATGGGATTTTTAAATCTAATGATTTTTTGAAATCTCATGTTCTTTTGGAATTAGAATTCACAGCAATATCATAAAATTCTCACTATTAAGCTGTACTATATTTTGTAAGATAAAGACTGAAATAATTTACTATTTTTACTCAACTCAGTGCAACGGTGATTTAATGACTTTGAACATGTGGGATAATGTTTCTTGTCAACTATGTTTTCTCAATAATATTTATGAAATAAATAATATGATAAAAACTAATATTAGAGTTTTATTATCAATTAAGTATATTTAGTTAAATTAATTGTTAAGTGTCTACCTTTCCATTTTTGGTTGTCCCAATTCAAAATCCAATATACTATTTTTTTTAAATTCCTAATTTACCCTCCTTGCCTTGAAGTTATAAAAGCATGCGGACCCACCATAGAAGGGTATATTTGGAAATTCATTCCCTACCACTATAAAAAAGACATTAAAAACTACCCTCTTAAAAAGTTAGGTTCCCAAAAAGGGACACTTTTTGTGGGACGGAGGATATAATATTATTTAAAAACAGGAAAAAGCCTCTCCATAGGGAGCTAAGGTTGCGTACATCTAACCCTCCCCAGACCCAATGGCGAGAAGCTCGTGCACTGGGCTAATCCTTAACCCTTTATATTTAGAAGCTTAACCCCAGTCCTCGTTATAAAGTATTTACGATTGTGGGGGTCCCACTAATTCAGTAAGGTCATAGAATTCATGAAATACTGTTCTACAATCCTGCAAAAAGAACGCTACCCAAGAGAAAAGTTGTTGGATTTGAGTTGAAATGAAGAAAAACAAAGCATCGGATAGCTAAAGAGATGGACCAAACCATATATACACATAAATAGAAAAGATAGTTACCTGAATCTTTTGGCCAACATATTCTAGTCGCTCAAAGCAAAACCGAGGATGCTCAAACTTGTGTTTTGATGGGTGCATGAAACAAAGCTGTACTTCCATGAGAAAAAAGAAAAACAATCCATCAGGAGACAGAATAAGGTGAGCTTCCCAAGCCCAAGGAGAATATATACAAACAAATGAAATTTTAAGGAAAAAAAATAAACAATTATACTAAGTTGTTAAGTTCAATGCATGATTAAACGATGGTTCAAGACTCAAGAGTTTAAAGTAGGTTTTTAGTTGAATAGAACTGAAGTTCCCAACTGAACTTTGAAATGCGGATAAAAAAGAATGCTAACACACACCAGTTACACGCATGTGGAACAAAAAAGAAGGCTAGTATTACATGCATACTTTAAAAACACAAACGCAACAGAACCATCAAAGAACAGACAAAATGATGTTGGCCTTAAACAAGAAACCCACACTAAGAAATAATCGCAAGTCCAGTGCATAATTAAGCAGAAGATAATCCAAATGTTTTGGAGGAGGTTGATTTACACACCAAACCTGAGTCCCTAACTAAACTTACAAGTGAAACAAAACAAGGTATTAGCACCGAATCTTAGTGATTAACCAATCAGATATAAGGATAGATTTATATTGATCCTTGTGGTGAGTCACGCTTGAATTTGCACTAATTTGTATTTTATTTTATTTTATTTGTTTTTTCAATGCATGCAAATATTGTACTATCTTTAATGCATAAATCCAATATAAATATCTGACCAGAATATAAAATATCAATGTAACGACCCACTCTGTCATGACTCTAGGACCTGTCATCAAAAAGTGAAGAGTCAACATCCATATCTGCATAGATTAAGAATTACCTGTAACCCAAGTCCAAGTTCTATATTCCTGGCTTCAGTGATGTCCGGAATTCTGTCTGTCATTGCTAAGGGATATCCCAATGTTTGCATAACTTGGGGTCTGCTATCATAATCCCATATGTTTCCTCGAAAGCGATGCATTCCTGGTGGGACACATGCCCTAAAAAGCCTTGGATGTGCAAAAAGAGCATCTTCCGGGGGCTATAAGATGAAGATGTAAGCAGCATTAATTGACAAATTTATCGAAGTACCACACGACATTATTATGCAATTGCTGATAGGGAACAGTAATACAAATCATTATTATGCTATTTATGATTCCAAATTTTGCAAGTCAGACTCAAATAGGAAATCTTTTAAATTAATTAATCCAGATAATTTATTCCACATGCTTGGCTATGCAAATCAATCACCATGCTGAGGTAACATAGTAACAAATTGCTACTCTGAATTTGAAAAAGAAATATTAAAAATAAACCATCCTAAACAAATCCCAGGATTATTGCTTAATATATAATTTTCATTTATCAAGAGAAGAGAAAAGGCAAAGACAGAAAAAGGATAAACAAAGTAGACATGCCTTGTATGCAGCAACATCTTGCCAACTGAGTTTTCTGCCTTCAAATTCCACAGAAACATAATCCACGTCTTCGAGTTGTCTCCTTAATTTAGGCTGGCATTCTTCATCTTCTGGGTCCATTCCAAATACTTCAAAAAGAACACGGTATATTTCTGGCATACCAAAACACAAATATATTGCCCCAAACAATGCCCAGAATACAGATCTGCCAATGAAATAATGATATTTGCATTAAACAAGTGTAAATATAAAAGCAAACTGCAAACAATCAATTTCATCAAATATCATAGTATTACAAAACAAAAAATCATGAGGGCAATTAATTTATTACCCAGAACAAGGAGCCGCTAGATAAAAGATGAGGCATAAGGTAAAATCTATAAATGATGTCTTTTTTAATATTTAACATCAATATAGTTTCTTTCAACTACTTCCTCGATTTTTCCCTTCAATCACTCTAAAAGATTTGTATATATCATTATATGAACACATGCTGTCTCATGTGAATTTGTGAACTTTTGGGGCCTTTTCTACTTGTGGGGACTTAGGCAACCAACTTAAACACCTTCAGGTGGAGTTAGCCTTGCCTAGTATTGGATGGTGAGCTTAACAAATTAAGTGGACATGAACCAAAATAGTTGGTCTCTACATGACAAAGTGTCAATATTGTCCTTGCTCAAAATTTATAACTGAAGTTAGCTAAAGGGATAAAATTTGTAATTTAGGAAAAACAAAAAAAACAAAAAACTATATATACGCTCTTAATTACCACTTTTTTCTCCTATCGTCATCTCTCTCTCTCTCTCTCCACACCTCATTTCACATCTCTCTAGACAACTCTTGTTTATGGGGTATAATAATGCATATTGCACATTCATACCTTCTAATATATCAAGGTACTACCGGCATTTGATCTTCAAATTGGTCTCTACCAAAGTGAATGCTTGGTAATATCCTTTTCCATTCACTTTAAACATGTAAAGAGAAGGTTAAAATAGTAAAATTAAAGAAACCTACTATAGTTCAGAATCTTCAGATGGATAATTGTTCTCACATCTTTCAAATAACTGAACCAAAACAGAGGATCCTTTTTCTCGAAACATTTTTCATTCGTTCTATCATATAGAAAAACAAGGTGAAATAACGAATTTTCATGCTAACTATAGTATTGTTTATTTTTGGTCAACCACCGCTACATAATCCGACCAACCAACCTCTTATTCCAATGCTCTATTTAAAAATGCATTTTCTTTGTACCGATTTCTTCTTTTATGTCCTTTTGTGTGTGTGTGGGTGTGAGAGAGAGAGAGAGAGAGCAGCGTGTTGCTCTATGAATGAAACATGCTAAAGCATTTACAAATCAAATTAAAAAATAGTCATGCCTCCAAGTTTTATGACCTATATATATAATGAAAACATTAAAAAAAATAGTGTCCACGTAAGGTTATTTTTAGTTTTAAATTTTTTCAACCACCCCGCATAATGCACATATCCAGCGTTGGTCCTTTTGAAGATTCTCCAAATGCTATGCATTAGAATTTCCTAATGTTATATAATCTCAAGGAGTGAAGCAGCCTTTCTCAAATTAATATAAATTATAAAATTGCACATCCCCTTGTGGGGGGGGGGGGGGGGGGGGGGGGGGGTGGGGGGGGTGTTGATCTATTAAAATGAGAAAGATTATAAAGTCGGTTGCTGCGGTCTCTGGGCTCCTAACTAAAACTCTTCTACCCAGGGGAGACTGTAAATTGGTTGGGACACAGTGTTGTGAGTTTCAACATAACCAACTTTACTGACCAGAATATGTATTTTATTTATTTATTTATTTTCTCTCTTCTCAGTTGCAGCAAAAATGTGCTAATTCAGTAATATCCAGTAATAATGACTTTCTGGAAAAAAGACTCTAAAGTGCTACTACAGAATATAAAATACCAATTTCTAATGCGTGTGGTTGGTTTGACTGATCTCAGCCTTATAGGTGCACTATACTTGGACCAACAAAAAGGGAGGGTGAGCTCCATATTTTAAGGAAGTTGGATAGAATAATCACTAATCACCTTTCATTAAACCAACATTGATTTCAGAGGCTATATTTCTACAAGTTGTGTCTGATCATTTGTCAGCAGTTGCCAAGCAAGCTGAAATAAAGGAAAACAAAAGGAAGCTTTTTCATTATTTATTTTTTCCTTCTCCTCTCTCTCTCAAATTTCTAGGCAGATCATTAGGACTCCTTACTCTGGTGGGTCAACAAAACGTCTAATTTTAGGCCACTCTATGCTCAGATATATGCAAAGTAATAACTTTCAAAGGAGTTCAACATTTTAAACGATGAAAAGATTGGTTATTTCTCTGGAATTCAAAGAAGTTAAAGCAGATTTGGAGGCAATGCACAGTGAGTTATTCATGACCCTTTCAACCCTGAATTGGATACTAAAGAAAAATCCTCTCTGGCTAGATATTCCAGGTTAGGGAGGGACAAAAAAGCATTTCTTAAGTAAAAAACTAGCGTATTTGTTTGAATTTAGGTGATAGTAACTCCAGTGTATTAGATGAAGCTATTCAGGTATGATACATTCAGAACACAATCTTTTAATCCAGATTAGTGATGCTAAATGGCTCACTCACAATGAGTATACTAAGGAAGAAACTGGGCAGTTTTTTTCAGCACTTGTTCGTGTACTATGTCCTGCTCACCAACGAAATTGAAATGTGCAAAAGTATTATTAACTTGCCTTTGCGTGAAGAATAGACCAATTTCCTGGTTAGAAGTCACTGGAAATAAAATTGTAATGTGAGATTCCAACAAGCTTCTTGGTAAAGTTAACAACAATTACTCTCATCCCCAAGGTGAAAAGTACAAAGCGCACCAGATTTCAGGCCAATTTCTTGTTGTACTCTCATTTACGAATGTATTTTAAAAATATTAGCAAATAGAATTGAGAATGTAATTAAGAATTTTGTTAGCCCTATTCAATCAGCTTCTACGCTGGAGGCTCGGGCCAAGCTATAGCGGGCAACATACTTTATATCAAAAGATTGTCCGCAACGACCATCGTAATCAAGGTCCTCCTTGTTACGCAATAGAAGTCGACCTTTGTAAAGCATATGATAAATTGAGATAGCATTTTCAGATTGCTACAAGATCAGAATATTCCTGCTACTCAGATAATCAATTGGATTAGGAGATAGGGCCTGCATTACTTCTCCAAAAAAAAATTGTGGCAAGCAATGGGGAACTCAATGAGTATTTTAGAGGGACTAGAAGGTCACATCACAGAGACCATATATCAATATTTCTTAGACATGATAATGGAACTTTTATCAGAATTGTTTAAGGCTTATATTAATGCAGGAAATATCTGTTACTATTTGTATGCTCTATGCGGAAAAACCCGTCATATTTGTTTCACTGATGACGTGATTTATATTTTTACTTTCAATGGGGATGATACCTCCGTGAGTACTGTGATAACTATCTTAGAGGAATTTGAGCAGATTACAGGGCTTCAGGATAATACAGGCTTTAATTCTTTGTATTTGGGATGAAAGAACTAGTCATGTGATTGATAATGAAAACTATGACAAGAAATCCTTAATGTCAGCTATTAGCCAGAATGTGAGAAAAAGATTTGCTATTAAAAAATGTTTAGGATAGGTGCCTTGTTTAAGATTTTTGTTATCAGTGGTGAATTTAAGTTAAATGGAAATTAGTCATGTGAATCTAGAAATTGTGTAACTTCTAAATTCAGTTGACTGATTGCATGTTGGGGAATATTTGAGAGTCTCTATAGGCTGACTCTCTTGAAAGCTCTGTGTATATTCTGATCGAAAAGGTATGTCATGCAATTGATGCACAAGTCTATCATTTGTGGTTGGACTTGCATTAGTAATTTTTGCAGTTAATAAAATTGTTTATTACTGAGCCAAAAAAAGGGAAAAAAATGTTATATACACATTTTAAGAATCTAAAAAGGACTTAATATTCTCTTAATTATGTTATCACAAACTCACATTTTACTTTAGTGTACAATTAAGAGCATTTCAGCTAATCTACCAATATTTCAAGTGTTCAGTTAGCATACAACAATAACCATAAAAAAGCACAACTAGAATTATTCACATTATTCAAAGAGCATCTCAAATACCAATTGAAAACCAATAGTTAAGAAACTTACTTTACAGGTGGTTCGCGGTCTTTTCGAATTAACTTATCCATGTCATCATAAGGAAATATCAAATTCTGCAAGCTAGCTGCTTTAATCCACTTGGGAAGATACCTCTTCCCAATCAACGCATACACTCTCTCCCTCATCGGACCCGGTGACTCCCTCGGATACCTCTGCAAGAAAAACTCAGCCATTGCCAATTCAAGCACATACTGTCCCAAGAATGACAGCCTAGAATGCCCGGACCTAATGTGCCGAGCATTTGTCCTCTCACAATACGGATACTGAAATGCCAAGTACAACAGTGTATCGAATTGCTTCGCTGGGTTATCATCCCCTAACCTATCTGATGGCTCTAAGGGGTACCCAAGAGCTTGCTTAGCCTCAAGAAGGTACTCTTCAATCCAAGTCTTGTCAGCATTGTTGAGCCGCAACGAGGGCAAACAAGAACTCAACAGAGGGAAAGATTTGAGTGATAATTGGGGACTCTTGAGAAATCTTTCAGCTAATTTGGCGTCATCTAATGGGGGTCTCAGTATGAATCTCTTTGGGGGTACTCTTTTCTTCGGAGACACAAACTTTTTTCGCTCGGCGAGCTCTTTGAGCAGCCTTTGGGGGCTGTTTTGGGGGAGTTCTTGGGGATCGACTGCGACTGCGAAAATGCGGAAATTTGGGGAAGTGGGTTTTGTGATTTTAGGGTTTTTGAGGTGGGTTTGGAAGGGGAAGGGAGAGAACGAGGATGAGAAGGAGAAATCAGGGGGGTGGTATGGTTTCGAGAGGGGTTTGAAGGGTGAACATAGCTCCATGAATAGAGAGTAGACAGAGAGGATATGAAGTGGGTTTGGTGTGAGTGAGAGATGATGCGATTATCATAAGAGATTTTCAACTATTAGAGATGGGTTTTTTGAACTTCGTGTGTGAATTTTGTGTTCATCAATGGAGATTTTTGCAGGGTTTTGCTGGGGAGCTGAAACTGAGAAGCGTGGGGATAATGTAATATTATATTATAGTAGATATTTAACATTGTATTTATATACTTATCATATACGAAATTACAAAAATGTCCTATTGATGAATATTGTAATTTTACTAAATTGTCCTATGTATTTTATTACATTTTCACACATTTTATAGATAAAAATGTCATATATAAATATAAATTTTGCTCAAGCGTTGTCCATCAACAAAAAGGAAAATTGTGTTCTCAAATCACCGGACAAAGCAAAATAATTAAATGGAATGACTAATTTACCCTTTTCATTATTTTCCATATACTCATAACCAAACACCTTTTTTAGAACTGGGTCAGTTTTCACCAAGCTAAAATTGTTCTGTTGGGTAGAGCTTAAGAAATGTAAATGGATGAACTGAGCTCGCTGGTTTGAACTGGATTCGTGGAATGAGGGTTGTTGAAGCTCACCAGCAATGGTGGTTACAGTTTGCTCGGAACTTCTCGCCGGACTGAAGCACAATGTTGGGTCGTCGTTTTTCCATGTTGGGTCAGGGCTTCACCACGGTTTGTTCGCTGCTTCTTCAAATTGAGGTCTCTTCACAAGATGAAATTACAAAACCTCTCACATACCATCCTCCTAACTTTTTCTCTTCCTGTTTGCAACTCTCTCCCATTCATGGCCTCTGTCAACAAGCTCAAGATGGGTGGTGGACAAGTCCGACCGTCGCGTGAAGCTGACCTGCGCCAATTGGTCCGCCCACCTGCACACCATGGTGCCGGAGGGCATTGACAAGAGGCCCATCAAAATCCTTGCAGCAAATGTGTCTTCAATGGGGTTCAATTGCGTTCGTCTCTCGTACGCCACCTATCACAAAGCCTGACAATATCAACATAACTGTTGCTCAGTCTATCACGATGATGGAAATATTGGTTCACCAGTGTCGATCGTCTGTAGCTCCGTGCACTTAACCTTGGGTTTGCCTAGTGATGCTCTTTTCTTCGTCGGTGGCCTTTTTCTTCTTCAACATTAAACATTCATCTTCCTCTTTATTGTGAATTTATTAAACATTCATCTTCCTCTCTGTGTGATACTTTAATTCATTTTCTTAAACATTCAACTTCCTCTTTATTCAAAAGAAGATCAATCGATTTGAGTTTCAGTTTTATATTTATTGTGTATTTATGTTTGTGTTTGTAACAGAGTTTCAAACCAAAAGGTCATCTACATTGTTTGAATGTGTAGATCATGAATCATCATCGAGTCCCTGCAAATTTTCCCAATTCTCATGCCACATCCTTGGGTTCTGCCACGAATGGCAGCAATACGGTGGCAGAGAGGTGGTAGTTGAGAGTTACTGAGGGAGGTCCGATGGAGTGTGCAGACCAAACGGTCCAAACATGACCCTTGGAGGGCAACCTGGACATTATAATTTATTTTTTTGTTGATGCCAGCTAAAAAAATTGTTTTTGACCAGCTTTGACCCTTAAAGGATGGAGGAGACCCATGTATGTTAGAAAAAGTAAAAGGTGTGGCTAAATTCTTGCAAATGTAAAAAGGTCTCCTTAAAGTTATGACAAATCATTGAGAATCTAACTGAATTAAACCTTTTAATTTATAAATTATATTTCTTTGTTCTTTTTTATTACAAACTATCACTCTTATAATATTTAATTTTTTAAATTAATTTTATTAAATGTAAACTATTTTTTCACTTATTATCATAACTTTAAGAGGTCTTGATTAGATGTGTTATCAAATTATAAAAAGTAATGATTCTTTGTTCGGTCATTTTGGTCGATTATTAGTCCGTCTCTTATGTGACAATGCCACATCACTCCCACGTTATTCAATAATGCTCTTTTTTTATTTTCTCTCTCTTCCTCTTTGTTTCTACCTCTCTTGAACCGAATGTGAGTGAAGGAAAGAATTGAAGAAGCATAAGAGATATGGATAAGAGAGAAGAGAGGTAGAAGAGAGAGAGAATCAAAGAGAGTACCATTAAATAATGTGGGAGTGACATGACTTTGCCACATAAGAGTCGACTACTAATCGGCCAAAATGGTCGGACTGAGTATCATTACTCAATTAACGAGGTTAGTTTTTAAAACAAAGGCACTTATGGGCCATAAATTGGACCTCAAATTGGATCTCAATATGGTCATTACTCTATTTGTGGTTATAACTTATTTGGACCTCAATATGGGCCATAAATTGCCTACTTGCAATCACTTTATATTAAAATGTTTGGGCTGATCCAGTCATGAGTACTTTGAATTGGGCCAGCCTCCTGCACAAATTTCTAGCCCAGTATTTTATTTATTATTATTATTTTTTTTTTATCAATAAGTATCCATCCCATGACAAGTAGAGCATCAATAAGCCCCCAAAAAAAAAAAAAAACTGTAGCTGTACTTTAGAACATTTAATATCAGCCAAATATATAATCTGCTCAAAACACACACAAAAGAGGAAGAAGACTGACGACCAAAACCAGTTAGAGAGATAGAATCAAGAAGATACATATCAAACTGAAGCCAACAATTAGATTCATAACTAGTTATCTTCACCTCCATTATGTTCAAGATTATTTTGGGTTGAATCTACTGAAGGGATTGCTTGGTCTTGGATGGATTCAACAATGAGAGTGATACATAATTCAAAGACCCATATTGATTGGAAATTGTCATATTAAAAATTAAAAGCTGCTGCTTTAGTGTGTAGAACCAGTGACGGAGTTGGGAATTTGTTTCAAAGGAAAAAAAAATTAAGGTTTGATTGACTAAAGGAAAAGCAATTTTATTTATTTAATTTTTTTTGTTGTTGAAGAGAATAGAAAATAAACAAAGAATTGGAAAGATTTTTAAAAATATATAATTTTAGGAGCGGCATTTTATAAACTACATAAATAAAATGTTAAAAGATTAATGGGATAGGGACAGGGGCACCCGCCCTCCGAGCCTATACTGGCTCCATCCCTGTGTAGAATGCCCTTTAGGCCTATACTTGTTCCGTTATTGTGTAGAATTGACGGTTAAAGTCTATATGGCCCATTTGAATTGTCAAAAGCCGAAATGGGCGTCTCGACACGTTTTTGGTACAATTTTAACGAATCTATTTTGACCCACAAAGATCCATATTGATTGGAAATTGTCCAACCAACAAGACTCACTTTTGTCTTCTGCTAGCTCGTGACTAAGGCTGTGTTTTTTTTTTTGTCAAATTCCATCGTTTATGGCTATGGAATTGTGTTTTTCAGTGCTATAAGAGAACCAGTTGAACATTTCAGGATTCTTTTCTAGAAGTTTAAATGGATTTGAATTTTTCTATTTTTTAGTAATTATCTTAATTTAGTGAGTATGTTTTATCTCTTCTTCTTTTTTTATTTTTTTATAATTTTTAGAGATAGTGTTGTTAGGTCTTCTCTACATCTATTTCATCAATAATAGTTCTTCACATTCCCTTTATAAAATTGAATTCACATGGCTTTGCTGTTTGCACCAGTACTTGACTACTAAGGACACTCTTTCATCTCTCATTCAACACACATTTAGCTTGTGTTTGAAAGGCAATGGAACTTTTTCTACATTTTTACACCTTGCATGCTTAGAATTGGCATGGCTCTGTTGGAGATGTTTGCCATGTTTACTGAAGAATCTCTTGGACCCAAGTGAACAAGAAGTCACATCCTGCCTAGGGTACCTACAAGGTGTGTGCCCTAAAGGACAGCCAACTGTTGCCTACATCAGAGGCTTTTTATCTTAGATGTATCCCCAACTCAGCAAGGAATCTCAAAATCTAGTGCACTTCGAAAATTATTGCTTTTGTTGTGGGCCTTTTTTTTATTATTATTTTATTTTTTTTATGTTACGTATATCACCATCTATATATCATATCACACTCACTCAACTGCCTCACTCAAGTTTTTGTCTGCCAATAATCCTAGTTTTCCTCTTCCCATCACAAACAACACCAACAAAATAAAAAAAGGACCATAAGTTAATGAAGGAAAATGAAGAAATTATATTACTAGGTAACAAAATGTATCATATGGATCCAAGGTCACGAGTAAAAAATACTCTTATAATATATGCCGATAGAGTATATAATTTTTTATACGTTCTAAAAAATTTCTGACATTCAATTTTGAAAAAAAATAAAAACTTGGTTGCTGAAAAGACTAAAGTATCCCTCTATAATTGAATAAAACGTAAATAAAAATAATAATTAAGTGCAAAATGACTAAAGAATTCCTCTATTTGGTTCAATATATATATATATATAATGGCATTATCGAAAGATATATGGATATTATAATGACATTATCTTAAAAATGTAATGACTAGATTTTTAACGAAATAGTGACCTCAAACCTTTTTTTATTCATTTTTTCAAACTTAACGGAGTTATATACACAATATGAATAATAGGAGTATTATTTGTCCAAAATGTAAATATTATGAGTATTTTTCTCACTATGTCGTATTATTTCATATCTTAATTAATTTATTCATAAGGTAAAAAGGATTTCTTATACTTTTAATTTTTCATACCCTTCTTTTTATTGATGTTTTTTATGTTTCAACTATGGACATGTGGCACATGGTGTTCACAATTCTATTGTTCTTAATTATAAGATGTTTCAAATCATTTTATGTTAAGCCTACTTGTGGCTTGGTTCTAAAATCTTATGTGCAAAGCTTTTTGTTGATGTGCCAAGTGTTTATTGGCCGGGACCAATGGTCTCGGCACCATATAATAACTTCTCGCCGGTCTTTTTTTTTTTTTTAGTTGCAAAAGCACAAAGGTCAAGCCATTAATGATCGTACATAGGCAAGAGTCAAACCAAATAAAGGCATACAAATCTTGAAGTAAAGCAAGAAAAAATGAAGAATATGTTTTTAAATTTGTTGAGAATAAGAGCCAAAGCTTAAGAACGAAAACTACTTAGGGAGAAAAATAACAACAGGAGAGACCCAAAGGCCTGACCATCATTAAGGCAATAATTCCAAAGCTATATTCACAAAGCGCCTCCGACAAGGAGAAAAATATCCAAACTCGTACGAGATCAAATCAAGTAAAAAAGATCAGATTAAGTCGAGAATAACCAAAATTGACATAGATCAAAGATCTAGTCGGAGAGAGGTAAGGAGAAAAACGGAGGGAAAGAAGGGGTTGTTGCAGACATAATGGTTAGAGGCAAAGAGAGAGAGATCTCATCTATCGATTCTGATTATTTGCATTTCATTTTTGCATCATTATGTGTGTGTGTGTGGGTGTGAGTGAGAGAGATCTGACTAAGTGAACAGAAAGTGATGGTACCCCCACAAACTCAAGTGCAGAGGAAATTGTGCAGTTTGATTAATGGAGCCCATTAGATCTTACACAATGCAGTATATTTATTATGGGCCCAATAAAACTATGAGATGTATTTATCATACAGATGGATTGATGAGCACTAGTGATGGGGCTTCTCTTTGATGATCAATCAAAATTAGGAATGGTGCCCAACAAAGAAAACATTAAAATAAAATTAAAAAAGGGGGAACCTTTAAATTCCATTATGCGAAGATATACATATATGTAGGAGCCTATTGATAAAGGGGGTCGTAGGTACTAGGGCAATTGCTTTCACTAATTCAAGAAATGCCACTTATTGCATATGATATATATTTTCTTTTCTTTTCTTTTTTTTCTTTTTTTTTCCTAAATGATATGATATATATTTTCAATCTCATCCCTTCAAAGTTGTGTCACATTCAAATGCACATTCCCCTGTCTTCAATTTGCAGCCCTTAAAAAGAAGTAGGTGTGTCACATTTCTTTCAAAATAATGCATGTCTATTTCCCCCTTGGTCTCTGAATAATTTGGATATGCTTCATCTTTTTCAATAAAGAAAAATATATCACGCGACTATCCCATTTTTCTGTCCAGTTCTAGCCATGATCGTTTGTATGGCTACGAGATGAAATCTATCGTGAGGGCACACTCTCGTGTCTCCCCGACACTTTTTCTAGTTTGTAATTCAAATTCAATTATTGAATTATAACCTACAGGTCATTCGAACGATAAATTATGTATACTTATATGACATCGTAATATATGGTATCTGAAACAACGTTTTCAGATTGACTTCAAACAATTGTCCTAAGGAGGAGGAGGAGGAGGAGGAAAAAAAAAAAAAAAAAAAAAAAAGAAAAAAAAAAAAGGGGGGGGGGGGGGGGGGGGGGGGGGCTTCAATGAAGTGCACCTCATTATAATACCAGTGATTGTAAAATACAGGAACCATTTGTCCTTTTCTTTAATGTAGTAGACTCAGCCCTTCAAAGTTGTGTCACATTCCTCTCAAGATAATGCCTGTCTATTTTTCCTTTGGCTCTCAATAATTTGGATATGCTCCATCTTTCTCTACAAGGAAAAATATATCACGCGACCATCTCACTTCGCTGTCCATGATCTTTTGTATGCCTATGAGAGGAAGTATATCGTGCGTGCACCCTCTCGTGTCTCAATCCGATACTTTTTTCAATTTCTAACTCAAATTCTATTATTGGGCTATAATCAACAATACGTTATGTATACTTGTATGCATCGTATTATACGGTGTTTGGAACAACATTTTTCAGATTGACTTCAAACAAAACTATAATGAAGTGCACCTCATCATATTACCTATGAGCTCTCTGTTTATTTATTTATTATTGTTATCTTAATTACCAACAATTTTTTAGAGAACCTAACCATAAAGCATTATGAGAATTATGCCGTCCAAATTTCATATCAAAATTCATTTACAATCAATCACACAGTTTAGTAAAAAATTTATATTCTCTTTCTTTTGATCATTTTATTATTATTATTATTTATTTATTTATTTTTTTTATCAAACTGAACTGTCACTTTTGCCTAGTTAGTACATAATTTTATTTTGAAATATTTTCATATCATTTAATTTTTTATAACAGGGCCATTTAAATATGAGCAACATGATTTTTTTTTTTTTTTTTGTTTTTTTTGGTAGTGTAAAAAATATGAGCATCCATGCACAAATTTTTTTCTACTCAAAACGTATTAATTTAAGAGAGCTGGTAACAACTGTAATGTATTATACTTAATGACGGCCTTGCTCTGGCATGTATCAACCAAGATATTTTCAATATCTTATTTTTTATTTTTTATATATTTTTTCCTCAATGACAATTTTTCTTTTTTATTTTTTATTTTTATACCATTTAGGTTAAGTACTAAGCAATAAATTTTCCAACAGAGGCCAGTGATTGTAAAATACAGGAACCATTTGTCCTTTCCTTATTGGTGTATAAAATGTTAGATCTCCAGGCACCGACTAGACCCTTTCCACTAGTTTTCTCTGGAGTTTTTCTTAGATTGTTTTTTATTTATTTATTTGAAACTCGGAACTCTTTGTGGCAGTGTCTTTTAGACTCATCCCAAGTTACAAATAGAGGGTGTTGCAATCGGCCCGATAACGACAGTATCATTAAATCAAGAATTATAATGAAGTGATAGGGAATCGAACTCTGAACATATTAGAGTCAGAGTCCTCTCCTTACCGCTGGACCAAAACCGTCAGTTTACACTATATATTGAATCCACTGTTTGGTGGACGCAGATGCTGACAAGTGACATGAATGGCCTAAGATTCACTGGATGGATTAGATTGGATGGAGTTACAAGTACATGGACAATAATGGAACTCTCCTGGTAATTTCTAAACCTTATTACATCTATTTAATTAGCAACATTTAGGCTCACTTTGGTACAATGAAAATGGGAAAAAAAGAAAAGAAAGGAAATGGAATAAATAAAAAGTTATGTTTGGTATAAAATGTTGGATGAAAAAAGAAAGAATGAAGGGATTTGGAAAAAAAGATTAAAATATTGATAATAACTTTTGTTATCTTCTAAAAAATGGGAGGAAAGGGAAGGAAGACTAATATTTTTAATAAAATTTTGTTAATACTAAATTTGCCATTATACTTATAAGAGAAAAATTCTATGAAAAAATGTATGATTGTAAAATTATTACATTAGTTTCATTTTCTTTCTTTCCCCAAACATGATTATTATCATTTTCTTTATTAATTAACAAAACACAACAAGTAATTAACACTATTCTCTCATTTTCTTTCATTTCTTTTCTTTTCTCTCCTAATTAATATTATCTTTTTTTTTTCTTTTTTTTTTTTGTCACAATACCAAACCTACCCTTAATTATCCATATCAGTAAAATATAATAATGATCAAAATAGTTTCTATCTCACATTCATGGCCAATATTGAAATGCTAATCCGTATGGACAGGCACTGTTGTGGATGAAATTGCTTCCCATGTGGAAAGTTCTAACCTTAACAGCTACAGTCTCATCTCTTTAATAAGCTCACCACCACACGTTATCAACTTCATCTTTATTCAAGAAAGACTGTTCTACCCCTGTGTAGTTCCCCTTAGGCCTAAAAGGAGGCCTAATATGGGAAATTCACCAAGGACACTGACCGTTTTCTAAAACAGAAGAAGATAAATAACAGAGTTATCACAGAATCAAAGACCCAATAGTTTTTTTTCTTTTTTCTTTTTTCTTTTTATTGAAAAAGTGAAGAATGTGGAATAAAGGAGTAAGAAAAGGGTGTAGGGGATGACATGTTGAATTCTGATGTTGTTGCATCACAACCTTAATTTAAAAGAAACTGCATGTGAATCTGTGTCTACTTTTGCCACTATATGATGGGGTTATGAACATGGTAAAGACTTTACAAGTACTGCCATGGTGGATCTTGATCAGGAGGAAGCTTCACAGCCCACCAACTCTAATATGTCCTCCAAGAAGGAGCGCCTTTCCACTGCCATGAAGAGGACCAGTGACTGGTTTGCTTCCTCTATGCTCTGATTTGCTCGAACACTTTCTAAAATCTTGTGTGTGTTACTGTGTGTGTGATATTATTATTATTTTTATTTATTTATTTTGAGGATGGTGTTTTTGGATAGAAAAAGAAAACATATTGGTGTTGTATTGAATTTGAACAGGATTTTCTCCCAAGAAATCCCAAGTGATGTTACCATTCATGCTGGTGGAGCTTCATTTTCATTGCACAAGGTACAACATATTCTCTTCTCTAATTAATCATTTCAAGTATTAAATTTCTTAGTAAACTCCTCCATAAAGAGAGCAAATAGTACTTGACAATTTGACATGTTATAAATGTATCACTGTTCATAGATAGACAACTGTTTAGGTTATATTTTAGCTTATCTTCTGTGATTCTATATTTTGTGACCTTAAAAGCAAACTAAAACATAGAGAAGCAACAATAATCTAATAGTGAAGTATGAGTTTAACCATGAAGCTAACACACATACATATTGATATATATTTGATCAATTTTGAAATTCAAATGCAGTTTCCATTAGTCTCGAAATGTGGATACATAAGAAAAGTGGTATCGGAATCTAGTGATGCTGATCTTGCTGAGATTGAAATCCCTGATGCTCCTGGTGGGGCAGAAGGATTTGAACTCGCAGCAAAGTTCTGTTATGGGATAAATTTCGAGATAGGTACAGAAAACATTGCAATGCTCCGGTGTGTGGCCGAGTATCTTGAGATGACAGAGGACTATGCAGTTGGAAACCTAGTGGGAAGAACTGAGGCCTACTTGAATGAAGTTGCACTTAAAAGCCTTGCAGGGGCAGTTGCCATCTTGCATATATCCGAAGGCCTCCTTCCAATGGCGGAGAGAGTTAAATTGGTGAGCCGATGCATAGACACTATCGCATACATAACCTGCAAGGATAGTGAATTTTGCATGTCAAGTAGGGGAGAAAGTGTCACTGAGGTTGTTAGTGCTTCCATGAAACCAATTGTAGACTGGTGGGCTGAAGATTTGACTGTTCTTCGAATTGATATCTTCCAACGCGTACTAATTGCAATGATGGCGAGGGGGTTTAAACAATATGCTCTCGGTCCAATACTTATGCTCTATGCACAGAAATCCCTTCGAGGTTTGGTGAGATCTCACCCCAGTGTTAACTGCAATGTTTCGATTTTATGTGGCTTAAACTTACAAATTTGATCTCCATTTTCATTTGTAGGAAATATTTGGGAAGGGGAGGAAGAAGATAGAACTGAGACAAGAGCATGAGAAGAGGGTTGTTTTGGAGACTATAGTTAGTCTTCTGCCAAGGGAGAAGAATGCCATGTCGGTTAGCTTTCTCTCAATGCTGCTTCGAGCTGCAATATATATTGAGACAACGGTTGCTTGCAGGCTCGACTTGGAGAAGAGGATGGGACTGCAACTTGGACAGGCTGTGTTGGATGACTTACTGATTCCTTCGTATTCCTATACCGGGGACACATTGTTTGATGTGGACACCGTGCATCGGATCATGATGAACTATGTTGAATATGATATGGAGGGGACTCGTATGGAATACAATGCTGACGAAGAGTATATTTCTACTCCTCTGAGTGACATGGAGAGGGTTGCGAAGCTAATGGAAAACTACCTTGCTGAAATAGCCTCTGACCGCAACTTGTCTGTTTCAAAGTTCATTAGTCTTGCTGAAATTATTCCAGAACAATCAAGGATTACAGAGGATGGGATGTATAGAGCCATTGATATTTTCTTGAAGGTGCATTCTCTTATTTCACTTAGTTCTACTTTCTGATTTTTAAGTATGTGCACACAAACACACTTGTGTGCACATACTTAATGAATAATTTATAAATCTTATGTCATGGTACAGATAATTGAAACACCAATACTTATATTGGAACATTGATATTCTCTGTTTTCTTGTTTGGAAAACAAGTTTCATGTCTACTCAAACAGGCTCTTTTGTTCATTGTTGACTAGGTTTGATTTTGGCCTCACTATATTTTTTGTATTCTGCATTGATGCTGTATCATATTGTCAATCAAGTGTTTCTATTTTATTGTAAATCTGTAAAAAATGGAAATTTAAAATGCTATAACTTTTAAGATTTTATATCGATTTTGATCCAATTCAAGATTTTAAATGTAGTCTAAAAGTAGATGCACTTGACATGTTCCAACTTAAACAAAATTTCAATGAAATTCCATAATATCAAGGTGTATTTCAACTTCACTCACAATTAAAACTTACAATGCAATTGGGAAGTAAAAAAACTTGTCTAGATCACTCTTAATCTTGGATGAATGTCATTCATGAAATTTATCTGTTTGATCCAACTCTTAACTTTTCATTGATAGGCTCATCCTGCATTAAGTGACCTGGAAAGGAAGAAGGTGTGCAGTGTGATGGACTGCCAAAAGCTCTCTCGGGAGGCCTGTGCTCATGCTGCTCAGAATGACCGGCTTCCTGTTCAAACCGTGGTCCAAGTGCTCTACTACGAGCAACAAAGACTTCGAGAGACCATGAATGGCAGCCTCATGGACAGAGAACCTCCTCCTGCTCTTCCCCCAAAGGTGAATGTATACTCCACCGACGTCCTACCAGTTTCAGATGAGGTCTCGAGCTTAAAGAGAGAAAATCAGGACCTCAAGCTAGAGCTAGTGAAAATGAAGATAAAATTGAAAGAAGTTGAGAAATCAACAGATGTGTCAGCTGTAAGCACTCCACTGAGAAGAAACTCATTTGCTGACAAACCTCCTTTGCCTCGGAAATCATTTATGAGCTCAGTGTCCAAAAAACTAGGCCGGCTTTATCCTTTCGTGCGTGATGGAGCCACGCCTAATGGCAGAGGTCGAACCAAACCAAGCAGAGATCGACGGCATTCCATATCTTGAGGCATTGGTTTGTCTCTGAGCCCTGTTTGTACTTTGTGAAGAGTATATATAGTGTCTTTGTTGAATTGTTCCCAAGGCTTGAGAAAAGAACTACTAGCTTGTGTATGTTTTGGTCTTCTAGTTCTGATCTTCTTCAATGTGACATTGCTGTAAATTGTATTGTCATAATCTTTTCATTTAAATCTTGTTCAAGGACTGGTCAATGGTGAAAAAGTGATTAAATATAGTAACATTTGGTGTCTTCTCCTAACTCTTTGTACATGAAAACTGGTGGTTACATTTACAGGTGCCATATTGATTTCTATAAATAAAATGGTTAGTATCGTAATATGTCTCCAAAAAAAAAAAAAAAAAAATTAAACAAATTTCAAATCAATACTTTATTTAGTTGTTGAGAAGACGATAAAGAAAGAAATATTTGGAATTTATGGTCCTCCAGTAGATTGGAACAATCCAGAGTACAAACCAAGAAATTTCTCATTTTTTCTTGTATAATTGGTGCATATTCAATCAATGTCCAAATAAAACGATTTTGGAAACCTTCATAGGCAAAAATGTGACATGAAGTGAAAACAGGATTTGATGTGCAGATTTGTTTCCTCTTCTTTTGATATCTTTAGGGTTTGCAGGTAATGGATTTTCATTTGCAACTAATAGTCCTCATCTGACACTGGCAAAGACTGATCCAAGACCGACATTATCGATTTGATGAACTCGAACTCTTTTTATTTTATTTTATTATTATTATTATTTTTATCCCAAAGATTTTTGTGATAGTTAATCAGAAGCTTGCAGTTTCAAAATGCAGTATAACTAGTAGTTATCTGAAGTTCAAAGGGATATTTGGAAGCCAAAATTGCAGTACCAGATAGCATATGTGTGTGGGGTCTCTGTTTGAATTATTGTTTCTTTTTGGATAAAAAGCCTTAAGAAAAGTTAAAACACCTTAAAGGACAGGCTAGCAGTATTGATGTCATAAAGCTATCGACAAATTCGAAAAGTATGCTTTTTAACAGATGAAGCATCCAAAAGGATTTTCAAATTCAAAGATTAGAAATTATTTACAGAACACACCATATGCAGATATGTATTTGCTGGTGAGGACAGATGAAGCATCCCAAAGGATTTTCAAATTCGAAGATTAGAAATTATTTAGAGAACACACCATATGCAGATATGTATTTGCTGGTGAGGCCTCATTCGTTTGAAACACGAATCTAATGTTAATCTCAAATGTTAATCTCAGATAGACAAATTAGTTCTAGTCTCATTGTTGGTTGGGAAAATTTTCCAATCTTTGGGTGGAAAATGAAGAACATATGTAGAAGAGTTTTGGAAGGGTTCAAAATTAACAAATGTAACGCGGATTCAGTGCTCTCAAATGCAACGTTAGATATATAGATTGGGGCAACTTGGAAAAGAATGAAAATAAAAATTAGATGATGTGTTTCTATGAGTACCACCTCCCAAGGTGAAATAGCTCTCGGTGACTTAAAATCCCTTTTGGGGTTCATTTCTGATGGGTTTTGGTAATTTTCGCACTTGTTATGTTACCCTAGTGCGAGGGTATTTATTCATTCTGAACTCTCTGTATCCGCTGCTTTTTTTATCATCGTAGTGAAAATCCCTGCAACCCTTGGGCATAGCCCTGATTTTGAGTGAACCAAGTAAAATATGTATCTTCTTGTGTGTGTGTGTGTATTTGATCTCTTTCTTGTATTTTCTATTTAATTTCGCAACAATTTCATCATCGTCGTCATCATCCTTGCTTTAATCACATATATATGATATTTCGAGTTTTATTCTTTTCATACAAAGATATGTCATACACAATTGCCCAATGTTCAACTAATATAAATAGTTGGTTGTATTCTAATTTATGGATTTTACTTAAAATGGGAGACTCAAAGATCTATAGAAAACAAAATGACTAATTTACTAGGGTTTGATCAAATGAAGATGTCAACATAGAGATGATTGAAGTTGTGTTTTCTCATGTATGACAATATAGGACTTAAGAGATCTTAACATTGAGCTAAGTGAAGACATGTTTACCTAATTTAACCATTTTGATGACTCTTCAATAGTCATGATAATGATGTACAGATATGAGACTCAGAAGTTCAGTGAAATATTCACCTTAATAGATTGTAATGGATTTCAAGAACCAGAGTAATAAACCAATCCTCACACAAACAAAGAAGAAGAAAAATCCACACAAACATCAATTATATACCGAATCCAATGATTTTCTCAAGCCATGTTCAGACTTAAAGATTGGAAAAACCAAGGCTGCTTAACTCTGTCTTGTCTCAGTTGTTCTTCAACATCAAAACTTTTCCCTCTAGCGCTAATTTGGTACGAATCCGGCACCTCCACAAGTCCCCAATTGTGACTTGTGTCCTTCATTTGATGAGTCCTTGGACTTGACCTCTTCACGTGGCTCGAGCCTATGGAAGACGAAGAGAAGCCCCATCCGGATTCAGAATGACTTAGCATTGTCTCGGATTTCTTCCTCCTATAGTAACTTGCAGGGCCGAGTGTTAGCTCAATCTGGCTCTCCTCTTCAATCTCCGCCACTCCATTAATTCCATCTGATTCAGCAATGTGCTCTTCATGGTCTGCAGGCCGTTCCAAGTCAATCCGGTTCACCCCAATTCGCCTAGTATTGCTTTCAATACTCCTCATTAGGATCTTCTGAATCCGATACAAACGATGAAGTTCATATACCTGCAACATCATATCATATTCAATCAAGCTTTGCTGTACTAAAAAAAAAGTACTATTATAGGAAGAAAAGTACCTGCTCTTTGAAGGTTTCTTCGTGCTTTAACATCGCCATCTTCATGTATTCTTTGTCAAATGGATTCATAAGTTCCTCCATTGACACTCAACTTTGTTTTTGTGCTCTTTTTCCAAGTTCTATGTCTTGAAAAAGGGCCAAAAAAGTGTAGTCTAGCTCAGAATTGGATCTTGATAGCATTATATGTATCCAATTTGTTGGTTGATAAATGAATCTATGATTATGTTCTCTTCTCGATCACACCTACCTGTGAAATGAGAGAGAGAAATATATGAAAGAATGTGTATGATTTTGTACTGATTTGACTATCATACAAGAAAGTTTAATTTAAGTAGAAGAATCTAAATCAGTGTAATGAGTTTTGAACACTCTATTATAGATGGACTGATAAAGGCTAGTGTTTTTTAGTAATAGTTTGTTGGTTTGTTGGTTTGTTTTTCTTACATTCAGACACCACTTTTGGTCCACAATAATAGATTTTTTTGTATCAGAAGACTCCCAACACCTATGGCTAGCCCTCATTTTCATCAGTACAATAATGGCTTTAGCACATGTAATTTGGACATCTTTTACCAGTGTTATCCTTTTCATTTTCCCAAGGACATCCCAATTACCTACACCCTCTCTCTCTCTCTCTCTCTATATATATATATATGTATGCACATATATATATATGTATATATATATATATAGCATTTCCTCATAGCATCTGATATATATTGGTCTCTTTCATGTTTTATTCACAATTAAAATTGATAACTATGTACAAGTAGAAATGTTGTCTTTAATGCTTTTGAACTCTCAATTTATCATATGATTGCCTTATGACCTCTCAAATTCTGATAATTTTGACACATATACTCACACAGTGGGATGCTAGCTACTAAGTTTTCCACGACAATCCGAATCCGCTTGTACCGACTATGTAGTAAAAGAGTGGGGGGCCCACCACTTATTGTGTCAGAGTTGAAACAACCTATTCGACTTGTATAGCATTGTTCAATCCATACGCTATCACAAGAACTGAATAAATTGATTAGTCAACAAAAATTGGTACAAAATCATCCATAAAGTCTTAATTAATCTCTCTCTGTATGTATATATATATATATATATATATATATATATATCTCAAATTGTTAAAAATATAAAAACTACACAACAAAATGAAATTTTCACATCCGCAGCCCCAAAAATAATCAGCATGTTTATGACATCATCTTAATTCTCAGACAAAGAAGTTACATATAAAAGAACAAATAAATAATTATCATTTCGATTATATTAGAAAAGCAAGTAATATTCAATATTCAAATAAATTTCTAACAAACAAACTGTAATTTTTTTAAATTTTTTTTCTAAATTCTTCACCATCAACATCACACACACACACACACATATATATAGCAAAAGCTAAGAAATTTAGAAGGACAGGAAGAAAGTTCTGACCTATATTTGTCATTTGAATCACATGCAGGAGCTGAGAAAATCACAACTTTTTGTTGTCTTCAAGAACATGAAGAAATAAGACTACTTTCTTGCATACATGAAAGCCAACCTCAGTCACAACCTTTGTTTGACACAGAGTACTCTACAAAACCTTCCTTAGCTCCTCATAATATTGTCATCAGTTTATACTGCAAAAATAAAAATAAATAAATAATAAATTATCTGTAGAAGAATTAAAGATTCTATCTGTTTCTTCACACACAAACCAAAGTATTGATGGTTGCCTTTGGAGTTTGAGGCATGCCAAACAAATCTCAGTACCTAAGCCAATGCTATTCAAGTTTTGTGAAAGAGATGCTTCAGACAACTCCAGCAGTGCACATAATATTAAATTACATATAATAACACCTCTAATATATATTATATGAATTATATATGTGTGTGTGTGTGTGTGTGTGTGTGTGTGTCTTATGTTGTGGATCACAAAGCCTTACACCACAATAATCATCAAATTAACAGCTTGGCCTGCCAAGTGAATCACATGCAACCCAAAAAATTTTAAAACCATATATAACAGTTGTCTTAATAATTTAGAAAAATTAAATACTGAATAACATGAGCTAGGATGAGTAATTAAATAGGTAGGTAAGAGTTCTATGTCACATCAGAACCATGTTTCTCTTCTAGAACTTAGTAGTTTAGATAAAGTGGACTTATATTGGAGAAATTATTATATGATTTGAAATTATCTGTTCAACACAATTTATCACGTAATCAAAAAGTTGAATAAGATTGACATATTATATTGTGTGTCAACTTGTCCCGAACCATCTAATAATTTTTTTTTTATATTGCGGTAGACACCATACACCATAGGCTTGTGCATAAGTCAATATAACTTGACATAAACATAACTTTATTTTATTTTTATTTTAAAAAGATGTTGAAATTTACATATTGAACTATGTAATTTTTTTTTTTGTCCCAGTGGTGGTCGTACGTTATGTGGTACCATTGTAATAGTCCTGACCATATCTTCTTAAATCCATGTACTACTGTATAAGGAATAATACGGAATAAGGATCATGGGTCCTCTGTATATATCCATATATTGCGTTGTTAGATGTGGTTTGATCAGTTGGATTTAATGATCATCACTATTTTAATGATAGAAAGTGGGGTCTGAATTTTTTTGTGGGTATTTTTGTGTGTATATATATATATATATAGTTTAATACGGGTAGTTATAATTTTATAGTAGGGGCATACAACTTCTCGAGGACCTTCTTATTGTTATTCAGTATTAAAGAAAATAATAATAATTATTATTATTTAAGAGTGTAGTGAATGTGTTTTTAACTATAGGGAAATTTCTATAAATCATTTTTTTTTTTTTTTTTTTTTACAACATTTAGAAAGAGCTAACAACTCATCATGGCCATTGACAATATGTGGGATATTTAGATGCGAATCTTGATACGTGTGTGTGTGTGTGTGTGTCAATGGACTATGGAAATGTAACTCACATAATCTTTCGCAACGGATATCGCTCTCACATTTCCCGAGCATTCATTCAAATTCTTACTATTTATGATTTAATTTTACCGTTTTTACGCTTTACGTGACTTAGGTCCAGATTAGAGGATATAGGCTAAGGAAATGTGATTGTATAAGATGTATTTAATATATATATAATGTGACACCTAATATATATGTACATGTACTACACATTATATGGATATAGAATTGTAGATCCCCATCTTATTTGGGGGATGATAATTTGGTTTGTCTTTGTTATGTTGCAGCTGTACAGGGACAGATAGGAAGAGGAAGATCCAAAGAATTGGACAGGAACTAAACAAGTGGGATATGAGATGGAACTCGAACTAAAATGAAATCCATGTCATGTCTGCTTGTAGTTATCAACAATAATTAGGATACTCACATGCATGCTAGGCACATGCATGTGGATAACCCTGTCTCCATATATGTTTATATGTAGATATACATATATACATGTACGTACTCGAATCCCCTACTGGTGAGTCTGTCGTGATTATATATGGCTTATACAATAATTACACGTACATTACATGTTTCATATATATGTTGCACTACTTATGTCCCTTAAACAATAATTATACATTATTTATGTAACAACTACATTATGTATATTTGTATAAATCTAGATAGTGTTTTTCATGTATCGGTTCAGTTCGATTCAGTTTCATGTCCTAACAATTTCGGTGCCACCAAAAGCCATACCGAATCGGACTGTGTGTAACCCTAGATATGTAGTAGCAACCTTTTTCATGCATGTATCTGTTGCCAGGGACGGACCTTAAAATATTATTATTGCCCTTTCTGAAATTATTTAAAAATTAGGTAAAGTACAATTATATCTCTTGAGATTTGCCACAAGGACAGATATATACAAACACACCCTTAAATTGATTGAAAAGACGGAATTGACCCTTAATATTAAAATCAATCTCATTGTAAAATATCTAACATATTGAAATGTCAAAAGTACCCTTCAGTAAATATTAACCACAAAATGGCGCCAGATGCCCATCATCACCACCGTGGTAACCCCTTCCTCCGCTGATCCCCTTCTCTCCATGGGCCGCGATCCCTCCCAATTCACCGAACCACCACTCAACCGCCTTATCCCCGAATTCTTGAACTGTGCTGTCAAAACACAGGCAACTTATATATGCTTGTCTTTATGACAAACCTTAAGGAGTGTCATTCTATTTTACCTTTAAAAAATTCATGGGTAAATTGCAGTGACACCCCCCTAAGTTTGTATAAAAGACAAGTTGATACAACTTAAACTATTTTTGGACAATGACACTCCCCAAGTTTGCAAACTTGAACAATAACACCCCATTCTATGAAAAAGGAGTCAAATACAGCCTTAATTGGCATGAAATGTCTAATATGCTCTAAGATATATTTTAATTCTCATAAAATGACCAAACTACCCTCTCCCTTATCTATCTCTTTTCAATCCTTTTTTTGTGAAACAGTGATTCTCGTCTCTTTCTTTCAACTCTCTCATCTGGGTGGGGGCGGCGAAGGTCATGGATGAAATGGGTTCGCCGAAGTCAATTTTTGGTGGTGGGGTTGGATATGGCAGTGGTCGGATGTGCGTTGGAAGCCGTAGCCATTTCAATCTATCTCGTGGTGCTGGCTCAGCGTTGTCTTCTAAGCTTTCCCTTTTCTTTTTGGAATATTTCATCATCAGAAACAACTCAAACAAGGTCTTTTTTGGGTTTTACTTGCTTTCTTCTAAAACAACTGATTAATCACTTGTGTAAGCTTACCTTTTTCTTTGACAAAAATTTTCCCAATTTGGTTCTTTGTCTAAGATTTGAGATTCTGGGTTCTTGTTATTCAGTGGAAAACTTTTGGTTTTTTACGTTTCTCAATTGGTTTTGTATATATATGTATATCTTTTAGATGGATATAGAACCATAGGTATTAAACCTAACAAAGAATTTCACAATCTAGTATAATTTTCTTCTAAATTCCTTTTGTTGGATATGTGGGTTTTGTTTTGCAAGATCCACTGTCCTCCATTCATTTGCTTCTGCAAGCCCTCTTCTGCCCATCTGTACACGCCTGGGCCATTGAAATTGGAGATCAGCCCACATGTCCCTTCAACAGTTGTGTCTTCTGTTGATAACACTTCTGGCGTTCAGATATCTGGTGAGGCCACAGAGGTCAAAGAAGAGACCTTAAATTTGGTTACGGGTGTGATGGGGTGGTGGGGTGCGTGTGTTAAAGGGGATAATGCCTAATTTGGGGGTGGTTGGGCTCCTGGTCGTGGACTGTGGTGGTGGTGGTGGTGGTGGTATTTGGGTGTGATAGTTGTGAAGTGATCCAAACAGGTTATTTTGGTCAATTTATAAAAAATTATAAAGTTAATCTAGTCAACTTTGAAGTAAAAAATAAACATGTATTTTCATCACTTTTGGAGTGTCTTTGTTCAGTTTAGTAATCAAGAGGTGTTATTATCCAAAAATAGATTAAGTTGTATTTACTTGTTGTTAGGCAAACCTAGGAAAGTGTTATTGCAATTTAACCAAAATTCATTATTGACCCCTCCACGTAATATTCCTGTCTGTTGCGATATGATGTAGTGCATTGTAATAAAACAAGATCCAGATTTATATATATATATATATATATAGATATATTTATTATACAATATATAGATATATTTATAATTTGAGAAAGAGAGAGAGAGAGAGAGAGAGAGAGAGCACGCGTTGCCGGGGCAAGAAGGTGCAGCAGCACGGGGTAGTGGGTCCTTTGGGGTTGGCTGAAAAGGCTGAGCCACGGGCTTGCACTGTTCTTTGGTCCCAACTCTTACATTTATATATATATAATATATATATATAAACTAGAGAGAGAGAGAGAGAGAGAGAGAGAGAGGGGTTGGTTTGGAAACGGAATCATGTGAAAGGCACATATATTCAACATCTGCTAAATGCAGTACAGATTGAGGAGGTACAGGAATTTACTCACTTGTGTTCCAAATTTTTAGAACATGACTTAATGGGAAATCTAATTTCTGCCTTGTCGGTGCAACTTGCCCAAAATTATGAATCTATTTCCTGCGGAAGGGAGGGATCACGTTTCCTGGTTATGCACGTTCAGCGTGCAATACAATATTTATATAAATAAATAAATAAATATATGTATTGTTATTGTTGCATAAGAAGTAAAATTAAACTATATAGGGTAGTTATTGTATAAGGATGAATAATTATTACATAGTTATTGTATAAGGATGAAAAATTATTACATAGTTATTGTATAAGGATGAAAAATTATTACATAAGTAATGTAATAACATATACGGAGTATATATATATACACAAAAAGAACTGCTCACTTATACGCTAGTGTGCAAGGATATATATATATATTTATATATAGGTTTACAATTAATAGATTAATAAGTGAATCTAATTTTTTTTTTTGGCATTAATTTCTATCGGTATTTTTTTTTTGTTTATAAGATAAAATACACTGACCTCATGAGGTTTTGTTGAATATACATTGATTTCCCCTAAAGTTTTACCTTCTTAAATGTCAAATTATTATTATTATTGTTACATATATATATATATAATCTCTCTCATATCAGACTTGTCAGGCTTCTTATTATGTCGAATATACATTGGGTTTATCAGATATGGTGTACCATACTTGGGAAGAAAGGAATGCCAGAATCTTCAAGGAAAGAAAGCTTCGCAGAGGGTTGTCTGTGCTAAGATTTCTTCCACCATTGCTGCTATTTTGAAGCTTGGCTGTCTTAAGGATTGCTCTGCATCTAGATCTATCCTCATGGACCGGAACATCTCCCCGTCTTCTACAAGACCTCCTCCGCACCCTCCAGACTGAGTTACGACGGCTTAGCTACGAATTGACTTCACCGAATTGAGTTTGGCCTCTTTTGACGGCCAGTGCCGTTAATGGTAGTTATTCATTTGGGATTGGGTTACTCCCCTTGTTGGGCTGGTTTCTGTAGCTTCATGCTGCTTTGGGCTTGTTCGGTTTTACTGGCTTAAGGCCTCTTGTAGATATTCTTAATCGATGAAAATTGCTTTAATTTTTGAAAAAAAAAAAACTTTTTGCGTCAGTAAACATGTTAAACGTTAACCAAAGAAAAATATGTGTGGTATATATTAACGAAACTCAAAAAAAATAAGTATAATTTATCCATATTCATATAAAAAGACAATAATGTTTCCCAAACAGATCTTGCGCTCTAAAGCTACAAAATATCTCCAACCATAAATTGATTTAAACATCAAAGTCGCGCCAAAATAAGAGAAGATATCTTCATTTCTTTCTTGAATACTACTGCTCGACCAATGTCCTTGTGGCTGTTTTATCTCCCATGTGCTTCTCTTTTTCTTTCTCCTGTGCCCTAGCTAGCATATCAAAAATTAATCACTAGAAGGAAAGAAATAAAAAAATAAAATAAAATAAAAGCCAAAAAAATATGCAACATATAAATATATAATATATAGATACATACACATACAAAAACACACACATATATATTATTGTAGTACATTGGATCATGAGTGTAGGCCATTAATATATACATTTTGTGTCGATCGAGCCCAGATAAACTTTTATTTTTTTGTATTTTATTTGTTTTGTTTCTCTCTCATCTATTGATTAAATCAGTGGTCCTGAGTCCTGACCTTATGTTTCTGCGAATTTTTTTTGTTTCCTGTGTCATGATCACGGGTGGGATTATGCATGAAACTAGTGATTAACTAATCCTAAATCTAAAACATTAATGATGACGAATGGTGGAATCTCAAGTTTAACTTGTTTAAGTAATGTTAAATATTACTCCATATTTCGGGAGTGTTATGCTAAGTACAATCACAATTAACTTGATCGTTGCATTATGTAAGCTCACGACAGCACTCTGTAATCTAACGACTGTGCTCAAACGACCGCATTAGTCACGACCGTGCTTAACACCGTGTTACCCTCTTTTTACAGTTCGTTGCAGGACCTCTTTGTCATCTATGGGTGAAGCCTAAACCCGTCCCCTCATGCCTACAATAATATATTAATTATTTCTTATTGTAAGAAATGAACTGTATTGATGACAAATAGTTTATATTGCTACCTATGTAACAAGTAGTAATTATTATAATTATATGGTCTTGACCAACTACAACCTCACATATAACACATTTATTTACGTGTTAAATTGTGACCGAGCGGAACCATGTAGTTCGGACAATGTACTTGTTCAATTAGGTCCAAATGCTAGGGTGTTTGGAGGATAGATGACGGATGGAGGTTTCAAAGCCACTTGAGCTCAATTAATGGCAGACGTGGCCTCACAGTCATAAAGAAGTCCTTGTTTAGTGGAATGGCTGTTCAATACAAGTTGCAATTTTTAGAAGAAAAAAAAATTTTAAATTAAAGAGGACTTAAATTTATCATATTAACTCATTACATGGTAAAAACTATTATTTGGAAACCATAGAAAAATCTCAAGATACATGCATTTACAACTAAACCATCTAAAGGTTATTACAATTGTCAAAATAAAATTGTGCATATGTACTTCTATGCACAATTATATGACAATTATACACTTTTAAAAATAATTAATACTATTTTATCAGTAATGAAAGTATTAAATAATAAATAAATCTATTGTCCAAGCTAGTACAGGAACATCCTCATCTACCCAAAATTTTTATTTGTTTTTTTTTTAAAAAAAAAAATGAAGAAGAAAAGAAGAGTGATTGCATCATATATTGTAATATCACCATTATTTGCTTTCTATGGATAAACTTTAGTAATTGGATCATTGTTTGCATCCTCATTTTACCCACAACCTCTTCTTAATTTTCAAGTTAACCTTAAAAGTTGCTGCACAGTTTTGTAAGTCTTTCTTTTCTTTTCTTTTTTCTAAGAAAGAAAATTTTATTATATTGTGAATATTTTACAAAAACCAAGGAGGCTTACCTCCCCAAACAAAATCAAACAGTACAAGGCTACAAACAGAGCACACCTAAAGCCAACCAGCTACCACAACAGCAGCCCAACATGCACAAAGGCTACAAAACCCAGCCAATAAGACTCCTGCATTGAGGTCTGGGAAGGGTTGAATGTACATAAGCACGGACCCATAATAGGATTAGTGGGGGCGAATGCCCCATTGAATTTTTTATTTTTGCATTTTACACTCAAAATTTTAAAATTTATGAAAAAGACTCCATTGAAATTATAAAAATGGACTCACCATATAAGTTTGACCCCACAAATTAAAAGGCTGCTCCTCTCACAAAATTTTCTAGGTCTCATTAGATGTACATAGCCTTACCTCCTTACATGCGGAGAGATTGTTTTCTTATTTCGAACCATTGAGTTCCACATGTCACAATGAAACAACCTTACCATTGCACCAAGACACGTCATCCAAATATTTCCAGGAAGCTTAAGCATCCAAATATTTCTTACTTCCACCATATATTGCTTAGCCAATTTTATTCGTTTGATACGCAAGCCTCTCTCTTTTTCTGGAAAGCACACTTCATCTCCCCCGACATACCTTTACACAACCAGGGGTCATATCAAATCATTTCCATAAGAAATTTCTTCGAAGTTTTTCAATGTCCACAATTATCTTCTCAATACTGCAACCTACCTGCAAAAGTTCAACCTGGTGGACACTAAGCATTGGAAGTTTAAAATAGCTAGTATCTGGCAAAAGTTTAGATCTAGATTGTAAAATAACTTTAAAAACTCCAAACCTTAGAATAATATATTGGGCAAGGGCCGCGCGAACGCAGCCCCGACTACAACAAATTATGACGTAAGCTCCACCACTTAGGTAAACCTTAGGCAGGCACCCTCCTGAGTGCAATGGAGGTCACCAATCTTGGCCATGGGCCTTCTTGATCACCCATGGACCCGTCCAGGTAAGTATGTTGCTTTGTTGGCTTCCCATGCCTTATATACACAGTTACATAGCTGTCTCGCTTTTGTAAGTTTCCGATGTGGGATCATAAAATGCATTTTCACAACCCCAGTTTCTAGAAAAAAACTATGAACCAATAACACCAAGGCCTCATTTGCTTATTTCTCAGTGTATTGAATTCTCTGTAACAAAATAAACAAAACCAAGATAGTAATCAAGATCAAAACAAGTACTTTTTTTTTTTTTTTTTTTTTTTTGTCATTCTTACAATAACTCTGGGAATTATATGAATTAATCATTAAATTCAAGCTAAACATTTTTATACAACTACACAAAATTTTCACTTGCCAAATTCAAAATTCAAGTTCCATATAAAACCCGTATAAAAAACTGGGAACAGAAAAGGAAAGCACAAGAAAGTGAACAGAGAATTGAAACTGAAAGAAAACTAACCCTGTTCAATGAAGCGTGAAATTGATTTGCCTTTGGATTTCAGGGTGTTTTATTACAAGCTTGAAGTAGTGACTGAGTGATTGCAAAAAACAGAAGAAATTGGATCCCCTCTCTCTCTCTCTCTATATATATATACATATATGTATGTATGTATTGTGTGCTTGTCACACAACCATTTTGTTGACAGTTTGGCACTCCTAAACATTTATCAACGCTTCACACAATGCGTTTAATTTCAAAGAGCTGATTCAGTGCTGTTAAGCGCAACATAAAAATCTAAACATCAATGTTCATCTAAATGCAAATTAGTACATGCTTAGATAATGGCACGTATTCAACTCATACCCCCTTCCACTAGTTTTCATGATAATCAAACATGGAAAAATAAGTTCTTATGAAAAAAAAAAAAAAAAATTGATTCTATTTTCTTTTGTGTCTCTACATATAAATAAACCATCACATCTTGGAGGTGAATAGTTCAAATCATCTTAGATTACTCGCAGAAATTTTTTCGATAATTGTGAAGTTGGCCAGTGTGTTATTTAAAAAACCAAATATTAATACTTGAACCAGTTCAACTGCCTTTGAACCAGTTCAAGTTTGCCAGACCTGAACTGAAGGCTTTTACACTTAGAAAAATTTCGCTTCTTTTTTAAAACATACAATGCATGCAAGTGTTTTTACCTTCTAACTAAACTTCCTAAAGTGTTGTTCTTATCTTTTGTCGAAATCGTCAAGCTATCGATCACGAACAACTCTTCAATTCTGCTTCCGATCTCGAACTTGAAATTTGAAATTAAAATTACAACTCGATTGGACTTGTTTTGACAATGAAATTCGCCAAATACAAATTTTATATCTCACAACCTCTTCTGTCATGATTGTGCTTAACACAGCTCTTGCCTCTTGTGATGACTGAGGAATACAGTGCTCTCTTTTCCCATCCAGCACTTCCATAATCTGTGCATTCCGAGAACTATATTTTTTACCTCTAGGCGAAGCCTGGATCTGTCCCCTCATGCCTATAAATAATATATTAATTATTTCTTATTGCAAGAAATGAACTGTATTGATGACAAATAGCAACAATGTCTTGTTTAAGTTTAGTATATATATATATATATTATTATATGGTTCGAGACTCTATGATCTTGGCCAATAACAACCCTACACAAAAATAAATGTGTTTATTATTATTATTTTTTTTATTTGTATGTCAAGTTGTAAATAACTAGAACTATGTAATAATTTCTTAAACAAAAGAGCTATTTAGCTACCCATGTTACGAGAAAATTTTCTTTGTGCAACGGGCGCATCTGGATTGTCCGGTAATACAATCGCACGACCAATCACATGAGGTCACGTAAACAAAAGTGAAATACACCTAATAGAATACTAACACAATTGCTTACTTGCCAACATATTATTGACCCGAGATCAATGCTCCCAGTACCAGCTCATGTAATAATTTCTCTCGCTCACAAGCCTCATTTGTTCAATTAGGTTCAAATGCTAGGCTGTAAGTAGGAAAGATGACTGATAGAGGGTTTAACAACCACTTGGGCTCAATTAATAGCAGATGAGGCCTCACAGTCATAAAGAAGTCCAGTGAAATGGCATTTCAATAGAAGTTGCAGTTCACCCCAAAAAAATTAGAGGCCTTTTTGAGTATTATTTAGAAACCATTGAAGAATCTCAAGATTTATGCAGCTAAAACTAAATTCACTTGTGACTTAAACTTAAAAAACCATCTAAAGGTTATTATAACTGTCAAAATAAAGTAAAATAATTATTATTATGAAACGCACACTTCTGTGCATTATCAGTGACCTATTTTCCGTGCATTACCAGTGACTTATTTAGTTGAATGTCCAACTCTCTGAACAGGTGTATCCATGTCCGAGTGATTAAAACACACACAATTGTAGATTTTTTAAATAATTAATATTGTTATATCAATAATGACAGTATTAAAAAATTCCCGTGTACACCAAATACAGGGACATCCTCATATACCCAAAATTATACTGTAGTATTCCTTATTATTCGATCTTTCAGCTAGTGACCAAGGTCTAGGTTGAGTCCAAGCATATAAAATAACACACTTCCAAAACTCTCTAGCCTATATTAACAAACACTTTGAATCATATGTTTGACTGGGCCGCACAAATGCAGGCCCCCACTACAACAAATTATGACATGGACTTCACCACTTGGGTAGACCTTAGGCGGGCACCCCTCCAAAATACAATGGAGGTCATCAACCTAAGCCATGAGCCTTCTTAATCACCCATTGACCCCATCCAGGTAAGTATGTTACTTCATTGGCTTCCCATGCCTTATATGGATGTTCTATAGCTGTCTCACTTTTGTAAGTTTCCAATGCGGGATCACAAAATGCATTTCACAACCCAGCTTCCAAAAAACAACCATGAACCACTAACATCAAAGCCTCATTTGCTTCTCTCTCTGTGTTTGAGATTCTCTGTAACCAAATTAACAAAACGAAGTCCCTTTTTTTTGTTCATACTGACGATTACTCTGGGAATTATATGAATTATACATTAAATTCAAGCTAAACAATTGTATACAACTACGCAAAAATTTTGACTTCCCAAATTAAAATTTCAAGTCCCATATAAAAAACTGGGATCAGAAAACGAAAGCACTAGAAAGTGAACAGAGAATTGAAAGAGAAAGAAAACTAACCCCGTTCAATGAAGCGTAAAATTGATTTGCCTTTGGCTTTCACAGTTTTTTATTACAAGCTTGAAGTAGTGACTGAGTGATTGCAAAAACAGAATAAAGTGGAGCCTCTCTCTCTCTATATATACACATATGTAAGTATGAACGAATTGTGTGCTTGTCACACAAGCATTTTGTTGACAGTTTGACACTCCTAAACATTTATCAACGCTTCAGACAATGAAAGCGCTAATTCAGTGTTGTTAAACGCAATATAAACATCTAAACATCAATGTTCAACTTGTGAAACTCCAACGAAATGCAAATTAGTACATGCTTAGACAATGGCACATATTCAGCTCACACCCCCTTCTACTAGTTTTCGTGATAATCAAACATGGAAAAATAAGTTCTTTTGATGTGATCTTTCTTTTCCCTCTCTAAATCAGTAAACTAAATAGTCAAATACTAGAATCTGCTTTAAGAAAAGAAAAAAAAAAAAAAATTTTGATTTTGTCTGCTTTTTGCGTCTCTACATATAAATAAACCATCACTGGAGATTGAGAGTTCAAATTCTCTTGGACCACTAACAGAAATTTTATCGATAATTGTGGAATACACGTGGAATGGGGATTGTATATGTCCGATGAAGGATTATGGGATGCTCTCAACGTGAAAATAAATAATTAAATAAAAGGAGAAAACATCTTGGAAGTCGAGAGTTCAAATTCTCTTGAATCACTAACAGAAATTTTTTCGATAATTGTCGAGTGCATTTAGAATGGGGGACTATATATGTCTGATAAAAAATTATAGAATGCTTTTTTAGAGACCCAACACCATCATCGTGAGAGAAAAAAAAAAAACATACACATGAAGTAAGTCTTGGTGGTTGACTGGTTGTCCATTGCCAAAACTTCCTACTAATTTCTCTATATTTTTGCATAGTCGAGTTAACGGGCTTGAGTTTGGGCCTATTAAAAGTTAACAAAGTCCAGGCAACGGTCCAAGCTCCCCCAGGCACAGCCTATGACGTACTAAGTTGGATCCATTTTGGTTCGAAAAACTTAAGTCGGTTCCGGATCCAACGTCGGACAAGTCTTCCCTTATTATATTAATATTCTATACGCTAAACTGATGGATAAAGATTTTTTCCATTACTTCTTTTTTTTTTTTTTTTTGGGTATTTCTTCGTTTGAATCAATGGTTTAAAACAGGCGCGACATTTGTTCCTTTTATTAAACAACAATACTATGTTATTTTGAAAAAAATAACCCAAAAGTTAATCAAGTGTTCTAAGTCATCTAATGGAGTATCTAAAAAGAAAAAAGAATATATATATATATATATATATATATATATATATATATTGGATGAGTCTATTTCTCCTGCAAAAAGGGTACACTAAATGACATTACCTTGTACCTATAACCTGCACGGTTACGTAGGTGAAATGCCATAATCATACAATCTTCAAGAGCCAACAATCTAGGCTTGTTTGTTCGATCCCAGTGGTGAAAGTTTCTTGCACTGATATATAAGTCATCTAATGGAGTATCTAAAAAGAAAAAAGAATATATATATATATATTGGATGAGTCTATTTCTCCTGCAAGAAGGGTACACTAAATGACATTACCTTGTACCTATAACCTGCACGGTTACGTAGGTGAAATGCCATAATCATACAATCTTCAAGAGCCAACAATCTAGGCTTGTTTGTTCGACAACAATCTAGGCTTGTTTGTTCGATGATCGAACAAACAAGCCTAGATTGTTGGCTCTTGAAGATTGTATGATTATGGCATTTCACCTACGTAACCGTGCAGGTTATAGGTACAAGGTAATGTCATTTAGTGTACCCTTTTTGCAGGAGAAATAGACTCATCCAATTCCTATGTACGAGACACAACCTATTAGCTATCACCCTACACACGCGTACACACACACACACACGTATATACACACTACCATTTAGCAATTCATGTATATATGCTTTTATTTTTGCATTTTACACTCAAATTTTTGAGAATTTATGAAAAAAACCCCACTGAAATTACAAAAATGGACTCACTATATAAGTTTGCCCCCATAAATTAAAAGCCCACCCCCTCCCTCCCTCACAAAATTTTATGGGTACGTCATTGTGGATGTACATAGTCTTGCCTCCTTACATGTGGAGAGATTGTTTTCTTGTTTCAAACCATGAGTTCCACAAGTCACAATGGAACAACCTTACCATTGCACTAAGGCTCACCCTCCAAATATTTCTAGCTAGCATAAGCATCCAAATATTTCTTACTTCCACCAGATATTGCTTAGCCAATTTTACGTGCATATCTGCGTTATTCCAAAATGACCATGTGTTTGATACACAAGCCTCTCCCTTTTTCTAGAAAGCACACTTCATCCATTTACACAACAAGAGGTCATATCAGAAAATAAAATAAAAAATAAAATTCCCAGAAACTTAAGTAATTTATTGATGCAAGGACGAACATGGGCCTTAGGGCCAAAGAATCCAAATATTTCTTACTTCCACCAGATATTGCTTAGCCAATTTTACGTGCATATCTGCGTTATTCCAAAAATGACCATGCGTTTGATACGCAAGCCTCTCCCTTTTTCTGGAAAGCACACTTCATCCATTTACACAACAAGAGGTCATATCAGAAAATAAAATAAAAAATAAAATTCCCAGAAACTTAAGCAATTTATTGATGCAAGGACGAACATGGGCCTTAGGGCCAAAGAATATACCAAAAAAGCTGAATCATATATTGGGCAGGGGCCGCGCGAACGCAGGCCCCCACTACCACAAATTATGACGTTGGTTCCACCACTTAGGTAGACCTTAGGCTAAGTGCAATGGAGGTCACCAACCTAGGCCATAGGCCTTCTTGATTACCCATTAACCCCGTCCAGGTAAGTATGTTACTTTGTTGGCTTCCCATGCCTTATATACACATTACATAGTTGTCTCACTTTTGTAAGTTTTCGATATGGGATCATAAAATGCATTTTCACAACCCCAGCTTCCAAAAAAAACAACCATGAACCAATAACACCCAAGCCTCTCTGTATTGAATTCTCTACAACAAAATAAACAAAACCAAGATAGTAATCAAGATCAAAACAAGCCCTTTTTTTATCATTCTAACAATAACTTTGGGAATTATATGAATTAATCATTAAATTCAAGCTAAACAATTTTATACAAATACACAAAATTTTCACTTCCGAAATTCAAGTTCCATATAAAACCCTTATAAAAAACTAGGAACAGAAAAGGAAAGCACAAGAAAGTGAACAGAGAATTGAACAGAAAGAAAACTAACCCTGTTCAATGAAGCATGAAATTGATTTGCCTTTGGCTTTTACAGTGTTTTATTACAAGCTTGAAGCTGCAATGAAAATGTTCTCTCAATTTGAAAAACTAATTTCTTACGCTTCAAAATATCTCAAACACTATTCCCTCTCTTTTCCTTTTATTTATAGATTTTTACAAGTATTCTATAAGCTTCTTCTTTCATCTTCATATTGGGCCGATCCCTTAGGCTTTTCTTTGTATATAGATCCCCTTCATCTCCCTTAAGATTGGGCCTGGAGATCATCTTAATAAGGATTGGGCTTGTTGGGCTGTCATCCGATCGGGTCAGTAGCTCTCTCCCGATCCAGTTCTCAGTGAGATGGGTCACACCCAGCCCATTTTATTTTTTATATCTTCACCTGCCCCCTAATATCTCCCTAATTGATTAGGGTGAGTTACCGAAGAGATATAATAATGACATGACTGCTGGAGGCGGTGACATAGGGAAGTGAATGGTTGGTTCAGTGGCCCATGTTTTGAAATTTGAAATCTTATCATTACCTTGACTCTTTCGTCATTGAGCCCTTTTTCCTTTAAAACCCCTCACCTCATACTTTCATGCTTTTCTTCTATCTCCCCTATCTATATCTTCGGGTATCAATTCCTTTGCTCCTCTCCGTCAATAACCAGGTTCTCTCCGGCGACTCTTCCTTTTGCAATTCTGCGTCTTCTAATTTGCTGTCGTGTGTTCATCAGATCCTCTTCTTAAGGTTAGTCCCAATCCCCTATAACTTCTCTAGAACTTTACTCTTTTTCTTTTTAAAAAAAATAAGTAAATCTGAGAATCTCACCCATCACTATATAAAGGTTCCCGACTTAGAAACCCTTCGTGTGAAGTACGAAATACCTAGCGATGTTTTTATTAGATTCTACCCCGAGGGTTTGGATGAAAGAACTGGCGAGGGTCTTCTTCTTGAAGAGATCCTCTTCTCCCTTCTCCATTTAAACGTAATCAGGTTCCCTTTGCATCCGTTCTTTTGCTATGTTTTTAATAAACTAGGAATTTCTCCTCTTCAAGTTAATCCCAATTTTCTTAGGGTAATATGAGTCCTCTTAATTTTAAACCGTGATAGGAATCTAGATCTTGACATCTTGGACCTTCTTCTTTGCTATCGAGTCACTAAACTCAGGACCAATGATATGTACTTCTGGCAACGGCGCCAAAACTTGGTGTGGTCTAGTCGCGTGTGTGCACCAAAGTTGCAATGAAAGTGTAGCCAATTTTAAATTTATAAAATGCCACCACTAACTCTAACTACTA